TCCAAATTTTCTTCAACGGAGAGTCTCCAGACTGATTAGCGAGTGAAATCTTGAAAGCTTGCGAGAGCAGGATGGTCTCATGAGGCTAGGCGTCCTCCACCACAACATCTTCTTCCCCGCTTTCCTCCTCTAAATAAAAAATGGATGACGGAGGAGACTCATCCACGACCTCCTCCTCTTGCATGTTTCCTCTGTCCATAGCGTTCCTTGACAGCGTCGTTTCTAAGTCACCAATTTAGTGCTACTTGGTCCCAATGGAATTTCCCATTGGGAACCTACTAGCACTAAGACGCTAACTGGTTAGCATCGGCCACAATCAAACCTGCTTGCGAACCTTCCGCCACAACAGTCCCGCCCCCTTGATAAACGACCAATCACATTCACTTTATTCACTCATGTAAAGTTATTCACTCAGGAGAATTTAGAAAAGCAACGGTTGAAACAGCCGCTTCCCTACGACTCAAACTCAACGCTATTTCTTACATTTTTTATTGAAAGACCTTCTTGGATGGGAAGGGAAACGTCTTCGGACATCGAAATAAAGTCCAGCGGATTGTTTTTTTTACTTTTTTGGAATGATTATGACCTGGATGACTGAGAATCTACAAAAGCGATAATTTTCATTAATTTTCATTAAAAAAGTAATATATGAAGAAAACCTGTTACCAAAAACAAAAGTGGTAAAATCCATACAAACAGAATTTGCCAGAATATTAAACAAAAAAACTTCTGACATCAATATATGTTGTCCTATGATTTTACATTTTGCACAACCACATTTTGTGGAAAATGATGAGATGATTGTCACCAAAAACAAGAAGGCCTTCACTTTAAATGCTTCCATTCTAAAAGGCAATTACCCTTTTTTGTAAACATGCTAAAATAAGGCAGGTGGTGAGAAGTTAATCTTGCACATGTACCCAGGTCCAGGTGAGGGCGGGCCTCTTCCACGGCACAGAGCTGCTTTGCAAGCCGGCGGTGAGCAGCGAGAGCAGCGGCCGCTCGGAGCACACCTGGAAGGACAACGCTCTGGAGTTTGAGATCTCCATCTCCGACCTGCCGCGCATGACCCGCCTCTGCTTCGCCATCTACGGCGTCATGGATAAGGTCAAAAAGCAGAAGTCTACCAAAAATCCTCACATAAATAAATACCAGACCATCCGAAAGGCAGGGAAAGTGGTGAGTAGCTCTGAAAGAGGGTCCCAAAGTAACCTGTGGCGCCTGTGTGATGTAACACTGACTGGTGGATAACCGTTTGATGCAGCACTACCCCATAGCTTGGGTCAACACCATGGTGTTTGACTACAAAGGGCAACTGAAGACTGGAGACATCATCCTGCACTGCTGGTCTTCTTTTCCAGGTAGATCGCAGACATTTCTGCTTTGGTTTTCATTCGATTTTCTGCAGGCTAATTGGGTTTTTTTTTTTTTTTTTCAGATGAACTTGAAGAGATGCTGAACCCAATAGGAACCATTCAGACTAACCCGTACACTGAGAACGCCACGGCGCTGCACATCCACTTTCCAGAGTACTCCCCCCATCCCGTCGTCTTTCCCGCCTTCGACAAGGTGGGTCCAAACCTGGAGCCGTTCAGAACGGGAGGGACACAATAAGCCGGAGGCTAATTCTGATTTATTTATTGGTGCCTGCCATAGCAAGGGAATGCAATGGCAGGCACCAATAATCACAATGGCATTCTATGCTCAATAGGCACCTATTATTATTATTTCTGTTTAAAAACTGACTCTTTATTTATTTATTTATATATTTATTCTTCTTCTGTCAACATTAATGCGGCCAAACTGCACCCACCCAATATAAGTATCAAAATGTCCGGCTCAGTCTCGAGATGGGTGCTATTATTTTTGTAAGCGATTTGAGATGCCATGGCGATGTAATTAGCAAAAAAAAATCCCATAGGAATGAATGGGAGATGGGAGAAAGAAGACATAAAAATCCATGAATTTTTAGCCTTTGCTGTTTGGTCATATGTTCACCTAGAAACACAATTTAAAGCTCCGTTTGTAGATTAATCCTTTATCTTTCAAAAACTGAAAGATGTTGAAAACTGCTACGGTTTTTTTCTAAAATCAGCCTTAAAGCACCACAAATTTTGAGCAAAATCCAGCAACTCCGAATGAGTCAACTGATTTTTCAAAGTGAGAGAGACGTGTTTTTTTTAAAAAGAGCATCTAACATTTGGAAGTCGCTGTCATGGCCACATATTTGGCACTAGAATCACCATTTTTGGTCAGTTTGTAGATTGAAGCCTGTTCCTAAAGGAAATCCAAAATTTCCTTGGAGAATTTTCTAGTTTTTTATATTATTATTATATATATTTATG